TATATATATATATTTTTATATTTATATACTGTATATATCAGACCGTGTTTACAATATGTCTAAAACCTGGGGAAAAAAACCCAGATAATTAGTCAGGTTTGTTTCAGTAATGGTTTGACAAATGCCTGGTTTATCTTCATCAAGTACAGCTTAGTGAAATTGGAGTAGTTATCTCCTTAAATGCTATTGTAACACACTGCTCCATGGTAATCTCAACTTCCAAAACACGGACATCAGAGACGACTGCCTGCCTCGCTTTTAATCACTTTTTCATACATGACACTGACAACAATGACAAAACTCGAGGAAAAAAAAAAAAGAGGGTAATCTCTGCATCACGAAATCCAACTAAATTAAATGCCCCTAATGAAATTAAGCATTATGGTTTATAAAATTTTATAGTATTATCGGAAAGTTTTCATTATAATGCATCAAATCTGCTTAATGCAACCCTAAAATGTATTTACAGAATGGTGGAACAGCTTAGTCAAACCCAGCGGCGGATGCCAGATTGGACAATTGAAGGTATAATCAGCATAATGTTTTTTGGAAAGGCAAAGGGAATCCATGCCATATGTTCACTTAAGCCTTAATGTTATGTAAAACTGGTTGTTTTTTCTTTGATAAAGCTAAAATGTCCTTTTGCATACAGTTTAAAATCTGTTATGTTCGTAATAGCTGGGGCTTATGAGTTTTGTGTGTTGCTTCCAGCCCTACAGAATTTGGAAGTCAACCCCTTTTGGCACAAAGGGGAATAGATTTTGCAGGATTCTGGTACTAGATATTAAACTGATGAGATGTAGACCCATAAATCTTTGCAGGTGTAATATTTAAACATAGATTTAATTAAAACAGCACTTTCAGTTGTAATGTATATCTTCTTCCTAACAGGATTGCTTCTAAAAGATAAAGTCCTCTCTCAGAAGCCTTTGATGGAAGTGCCCTTTCATTGATTCATGGACCATACACTAGGGATGCACCTATATCAGTTCAGATACCAATGCCCATACTTGGCATTTTCATGAGAACTACCAGGGTTGCAGCGGTTGTAGCTGGGATCTGGCGCTCCACCACTGTCCTGAAATCATTGGCCTGTATTGTTTTAGAAAAACTGTCACATGACAATAAACAAAAATGTATCAGTACTTCTTCTTGCAAAAATGGTATCGGTGCATACCTTTGTATATGTTTATAAAAACAAAATCGTACATTAAAACAGGGATGTACAAATCCCAGGAGCTCCGTATGCTCCTTACAAATGACAGCTACCTCCTAACTTTTGAACTTTTCTCTAGTCTAGTCTTGGAGCTCGAAAATTTTCTGTACTTGTACTTGTACCGAGTACGGTACCTGGTATCGGTGCATCCCTACCATAAACCAAATCTTTGACATTGTTAGGGACAAGTAGAGTGGTTCCATCAAATATCACTAAGCTGCTAAGGTGAAGTTTGTGTAAAAAAAAACAAAACCTCCATGAAGGTCACCAGGAGGAACCAGTAAGAGTTGTGGAGGACCCAGGAGATCAACACTTCCAACAGATTCAGTTTCCAGAGGACTTTGGGGGATCGATAATTGTGAGTAGATTGGTGTTTCACAATGTGGGCGCAGAAGAGGACAGTATTCACACTCTTCTTTTACAAGTATGCATACCATGGGTCATTTTTGTAACAATGGATATCCCATATTGGTTGTATGACCTATCCCAAGAGTTAGTCACAAGCTGGAGGATTTTGGGGGTTGACATTAGCAGACTGTTCAGGCAAAGCCAGTCAGGTAGTGTTCTGAGGTCACTCCCTACCTCTCAAGATGCTCTCCAATGGCACATACCTTGTGGCTCTTGCCTCAGCCATGTGACCTGAATCTTCACCAAAGCTAAATTCCCATTCTATGTTTTTGGCTGTTTAGCAAACTTCTAATTATTGTATGCAGGGGAATATCATCTAACCTAAGGCTTAATTTTTTACTCTACAGTGGAGAAGCTACAGATGGAAAATTAATAGCATAAAAATAGAAACAGGGGCATAATGTACCTGTTGAACTTTTGCTAGAATATATCTGTCTAAAACTACCAGGCTACTGGCAAGCCAGTATTCAAGGAACACATATTCTTAGTCTGAAATTCCGCAGAACAGAGATTTTCAACTTCTCCCACCAAAGTATGTCTGCTGCTTAATATACATTCCTGATCAAGAGGCTCTAGAGGGAAATTTTTTAGTTCCACTCCAGCTGATTTTACAGTATTGCAGAGAGATGGAGAACTTACATGGCTTTTTGGCTGGCTGGACAAGTTGAGGATTCAGATATGGGCTGTTCTCTGCGTCTATCCTCCGTTTGTACTTCTGTCGGCCTCCACGTACTCTGTCAAGACGTACACCTGAAAAAGATACAGTAATAATGTTTAGCTTACACATTGATTCAGCACAAAGCTTTTTCATTCTCATACAAGTTGTGCTTCCATATAGAATTTGTTTTAAAACAAGTGCAAGTCATCCCATGATGGTCACTTTCACACTTCTGCAGTTTAGTCAGAGCTCCTCCCTGCTAGCAAAACCTACACACATAGGCCCTGAGCTGTGCTTATAGACCCCCACTACACATTTGTTGAGTCTGCTCACTGTTAACCAACAGTTAACCAACCATTATTCTTTTCACATATGCATTCATACTTTAAAACACAACAGATAAGGACAGCTAGGTAAGCTTATCACAGAATACTCCCCCCAGCACTCTACCAACCCTGATTTTTTATTATTGCAAATGCCGTAACAGGACAAGTGAATTGGTCACAACCCCTTTAAGACTCTTGACTGCCCAGACTGATCTCATTATAATGTGTCATTGCCAAACAGAAGCTGACCTCTCCTTCTGGAAATACAAGCTGCCTAGCTCTTATGTTGACCTTCTTCTACTTTAGGAGATAGACTGCCCCACACCTTTCTACTACTTCCTGAATTGTGTTTTTTGCTGTCTCTGTCCAACTGGGGAGATTTTGCTTCAGTTCCTATCTTGAGGCACAAAAGTAAGTGAGAGGGAACTCTCAAAAGTAAGGGAAATCCTTTCTAGCTGTCACTACAACAACTTTCCCCATTGGAATATACCCCCTCTATTTCTGTTCCAGTGACAACTCAAAATTGTAGAATCACCTTCTTTTTGGTTGACAGCGGTCACAAGGGGAAATAGAAAGGGTCAATAAAATACCTGAGGTTCTAACCCTTTCCTAGTTTATTAAAAAAGAAAATAATTGGTCTTTAAATACACTTAAAACAAATCTGAGCACTGTTGCTGCTGTGATCTGCTACGTGCATGCCTATCAATCACTATCAAGTTGGGTTGATTCCAAGAGAACTTTTATTCACTACACTTGGGGGAAAAAAATCACCTGTGGCAACTGGCAAGAATACAAATCATACAGCAGAGCGACAAATGGTGAAAAAAGGTCAATAAATATCATTTAAAAAATAAAGGATGCCCAGCAAACCTTGCAGGAGGAATAGGCGAACAAAGCCCAATGTAGGTTAAACAGTGCAAAGCAACGATCAAGAAAAATCAATTACTAATCTGGGGGCTTCAAAAAAATACATACAAATATAGAAGGACACATAAAATGATGCTTTGCAGGGAAAGATCCAAAGGGGATTATTTGTAGCAAATCACTAGATGAAAAGTAGAACTGGGAAAAAAGCAGCCCAGTATTTTAATAGCAATGAGGAGAAAATGAAGTCTGCATAATTCAGGTGCCATCATCCCGCCTATTCTGTGCCTGATTTCATAGAAGCAATTCTGGCCCTGATTTCATAGAAGCAAAAAAAAAAAAAAAGATGGATAGCGTGCAAAAGCAGTGTGTTTAATCAAATAGTAATGGGACTGTGGCCCAAATTTAAATAATATAAATCTGTTCTAATCAATCATTTTATTTGCATCTTGCTTCTCTTAGGGTTCTGTGCATAAATCGAGTCCCTGGAATAGAGAGCGCAAAGGAGCCGGTGATGAATATCACTCGATGAGACTCCCGGGTCTCTGTTTTATGCTGAGCAACCGAAAATGTTTCAGACATCAGTGGGAAGACTTACACCCTGTGCCACCTAAAGGAAAACTCCTCTTTCACTAAACAAATTATATAACGTATATCACGGCTACGAAAGCCACTTTGTCATTGAAAGTTATTAAAGATGAGCATACCGGTTTAATCTGCAGCCAGCCTTTACTAGAAGTGCCAAGAAAATGTAAATGTTATTTCTTTGCCAGCATGGCAACAGGTTCTGGGGCATTCTGTAAATGGTTTGTATAGGAAATGCCCCCAGGAAACTAATTTCCTGCTTATGTGACTGGTTCAGTCTTAAAGGGGAATTCTAGGCACAAAAGCTTTAATTTAAATATACAGTATTTGTCAATAGCCATAAAGAATATACATCCTTATTTCATCGATATGTGGAGTCTACTGGTCTGGGCCACCTACTGGCTTATGATAATTCTAGGGGCTCTGGTGGCGAGAGCTTACCACCATAGTTCCTGTTTGTGTTCCAAACCAATTTGGAGTGCTAAGTATTCCTTCCCACTTTGGGGTGTGCCTATTTTTCCTTCTGCATCATAATAAATTAACAAATAAAAGTCCAACAGGGACACTGGGCAACTCTGTGTGCAGACCTGGCTTTCCCGTGGGTTATAGGACACTGTTAGGTGTTTTTTATTCTGCACCAAAAAAAAGCTAGGCAAAAGTGTACAAAGGGGTTAATAGATAGCAACCAAATATCATATTTCACTGGTCAAAAGCTGATAATTCATAGAGGCATGCTCATTCAGTAACATAATCGCTGCTTGTAATGAGCACCCGTGACAGCCCCGTGTCACTTCTAGGCACAGACTCAAGATGAAGCCAGGAATCTTCTGTGTATATTCCCCTGGACCTTCAAACAGATGACGCTATGGCTGTGAAGTGCCCCCACTGCTAAATTAAGACACCGGTTAATTCGAGGCTACTTGTAATTGCACATTGAATTTCTATTTTTAATCCTGCCATGCAAATTCATTTTGTTGAACCAAAGTGGCATCTTTTTATAGTCTCTCCCATTGACATGAGATAAAGTAACTTGTCTGGCAGCTATTTGAATCAATTTACAGAGGATCAGGGGCAGAAGTGCCAAGCTCAGGAAAAATAAGAACTTTGAGATTGTGTATAGTGTGGGTGCGACAGTCCATTAGGATCCCGCAGACTCCTGCAAACATGCATTGTCATCAGACAGTGGGGGACAATGGTTTAATATTGCTCACTGCAGACGTCTAGCACAAGACAGTACTGTTTTCTGTTTCTCTATTTATAATAGTATATATATATATAGAATAGAACTCCTTTTTTAAATACTTCAAGCACCCTTTTGTTTGCCAATGTTTACTAAAACTGCTGCCAAATATGAGTTACTCAGCTTATAAACAACCCTCCCACTGTGTAATCAGTGATGAAAAATGTCAGTCTGTCACCAGTGACCCATTTATATGCCCATTGGGCAGCACCATCTTAGCACTGGTACATCATAGTAAAGTCGAATCCAGGCTGTCAATCACAGCCTGCGCATCAAAGATGCCTCCGACGCCCCTTCCTGTAGCATAAAAGGATGAAAGGTCCTTGGATCTTTTATTGTAGGTGTCCAACAATTTTAATAGGAGCTTTATCACTTGGGTGCAAAAGCTTTCCCACCAAAAAGGTCCCTAGACTGAAGGGTGGCCCTAGAGAATTACCTGGTAGCAAACACGGCAGCACCACCAGACATAGAAGAGTCCTAAGTGTATTTATGGATTGAAATACATCAGCATAAAAAAGCCAACATGTTTCAGGGGCTCATACAATCCCCCTTCATCAGGAATAGTAGTATAAGGGAACATAAGTTATACCTATATGGATGATAGATGGAACACAAGTTATGCCTATTTTCCCTCTATACTTCTAGCCCTGGCACAGGGGGGGTGTCAACCCTCAAAACATGTTGTCTTTCAATAGAAACACTTTGGACTCTACGTCTGGTGGTGCTCACATGTTTGAATCTGACTTTCCTATGACAGTGATGTGTCGCTGCTCTCTGCATAGATCAGTGGTGAGATGGAGTGGTAAGATATGGAGATGAAGGCTTAGCTAATGACTTTTGAGAAAAAGTCAAAGTTTGCATATAAGTAACATGGTTATTGAGTTTGCAGGTTTTGCAGAAAGAAGGAACCGATGAAGCAGAATGAGAAGGTGCCACTATACTCACATGGAAATGGAAAAGGGTCACTTTCAGTAAAGAAAAGCAAACATACACTACTGTATCAATGGAGAGCAGCATTGTCACCCTAGAACAGGAAGTGTGTTGACCATAGAACACCTCTGCTCCTTCTCTCCATAACAAAGGGAGGGGGGTTCTGTAGTCCTCAAAGATAGCTAGGAACAATGCTAACTGGTAACAGTCAGCAGAGACAGAACACACGAAGTTATCAGCGCCTTGAATTTGCATTTTGCACTTAATGAACACATATAACACAACACTTTTAATGTTATATTTAACAGACCAATCGGAAATAACATAAGAGAGTTAATTGTTAGGGTTTACATACACTTTAAGGTTGAACACTGTGCTTTTAAATAAACCCATTTGTTCATCATGATAATGATAATCATTGCTATCCAATAATGGGTCTATTTCTCTTAAATCTAAGCAAAGCTTCCTTGCACAAAAACCTGGCTGAGGTTTCCTGAGGACGTGCTATGGGGTCGCCAACTCCAGCCAAATGTTATTTTTAAGATGCAGCTTGAAATGACATTAACCAACGTGTCGCTTTCTATAGTCATCTTCCGTGATACGAGTGTTTACACGAGCTCGGTTGACAAAATACTGTTGCCTTCCTATTGCACTCATTGTTTTTTGTTTTTTTTTCTTTATTTGCAGACGTCAGTGCAACTCCCTACAGGCTTGTGTTATAAATCTGGTGCCCAGCTTCCTCCAATGCATACTCCTCTTCATATTCCTAGCTTTTTTGGTTACAATAAAAAGTACAATATTACTGATGTAGCTCAATTATTAGAATTTTTTCACATTGTCTGCATCCATCTCTTTAGCTTGAGAGTCAGAGGTAGGGGACCCCGGGAGGTCTAATAGTTGCTGCCCTGCTAACTACAGGACCTTACACAGTGGCTTTGATTTACTAATGGAGGAAAGACTGTTCACTTAGCAAAATGAACCTTCACAGCATTCTTTAGTAAATCAACCCAGGTGTGATATCAGACAACTGGCGTCTTAGCACATTTCAATAGAGCTCTGTCCCCTGACTCTCGAGCTGAAAGCAGAACTATACCCTCCTATCTCTTAGAGCCAAGGAAGGTACCATCTTAGCCTCTATTTGGATTGC